CTTCACTGAATATTGCAGAGACAGATAAAACTGAAGTCACTGAAGATTCTAACAAGTGTGTCAAGCAAAATGCTTGCTAAATGTTTTAACATCAGTACAGATTCCTAATTCACTTAAATATGCTGATTTAAATTTTGCAGAAGTTATTTGGTTATTATTTTGGAACATTTCTGGTGCAGCTAATGCAAAATAAATAAATCGATAAAGAAATAATATTTTCTTTGTAAGGGGATGCCATATTTCACAAAACTAGCAGTAAGCTTTATTTACTCTGGGATACTCAGTTAAGCATAGCAAAGATAGAACATTAAATGTTTAAACATTTCAAAATGAAGCTAAAATGAAAATATATGCTTAATTCGGTCTCATTTTAACTGACAGGATCACCTCTCCCTGTGGTTCTCTTAATATGGTATCAACACCACTTAAAAGTAGGTTATACCTCTTTATTTCCAACTGTTTGCACTGACATCCAGGCTCTTCCCTATAAGAGTTTACTAAGCAGAGGGAACAAGGAGAAAAACGTCTTTGTGCTTTCACATGCAACCAATGCTACTCAGAAAGTAAAAATGGAGAAGAAAAAAAAGTAACAAAGTGAAATAATAGAGCAAAGATAGGAAGCTATCTTACTGGATAAGGGATTTATGTTCTCACTAAAAACTTCTACAATTCATGTCTTCTTTTTAGCTTTGTTATAGATTTCTCTGGCTAAATTTGTGCAAATCAAATAACATCCCTGTTAGTCAATTATCTAACTGATAAAGTGGGTAAATTAATACCTGTGTACTAATAATACAGTACTGCTGAAGGCTTCCCCCCCCTTCCTTTTTTCCCCTTTTTTTTTTGGTGGGGTGTAAAACATTTTGTGCAAGATCTTGACAACACTTCGCAAGGTTGCTAGTCTGAACCTGGGAAGCAACCCTGTGAAGCGTGTCAAGACTGGGGGAAGTACTGAGCACAGGCATCAGGGCCGGGTGGAGCACTGCATCACAACCAGTGCCACAAAAAAAGAACAGAGAGTCTTAGTGATCGGAAACTCCTTGCTGAGGCGCGCTGAGGCTCCCATTTGTCACCCAGATAACCTATCCAGAGAGGTGTGCTGTCTTCCTGGGGCACGTGTCAGAGACGTTAGGAAGGCTCTGCCACAGCTCATTAAACCGGAGGATTACTATCCTCTTGTTGTCATTCAGGTTGGATCTGGGAAGCTGCAACTTTCTTTAACATGAGGAATATTAAAAAGGACTTCGCATCCCTGGGAAGGTTGTTGAAGGGATCGGGGTGCAGGTAATGTTCTCCTCTGTCCTCCCTCTGGGTGACCAGGACCCAGAAAGGAGGAGGAGAACAGGACAGGTGAACGACTGGCTGAGGGGGTGGTGACTGGACCAAGGATTTGGGTATTTCGATCTTGGGGCCAAGAGAGCCAAGGGGATCCTGGCATGCATTGAAAGGAGCGTGGACAGCAGGTCAAGGGAGGTGATCCTCCCTCTCTACTCTGCCCTGATCAGGCCTCACCTGGAGTACTGGTGTCTGGTTCTGGGCTCCCTGGTACAAAAAAAGACAGGGATCTCCTGGAAAGAGTCCAGCGGAGGGCCACAAAGATGATACGGGGCCTGGAGCATCTTCCCTATGAGGAAAGGATGAGAGACCTGGGTCTGTTCAGCCTGGAGAAGAGAAGACTGAGAGGGGATCTCCTCAGTGTATATAAATATCTGAGGTGTGGGAGACAGGGGAATTTGCCAACCTCTTTTCAGTGGTTTGCGGGAACAGGACAAGAGGTAATGGCCACAAGACAGAGCCCAGGAAGTTCCGCACCAACATGTGAAAGAACTTCTTCACGGTGAGGGTGACAGAGCACTGGGACAGGCTGCCCAGGGAGGTTGTGGGGTCTCCTCTGGAGATATTCGAGGCCCATCTGGATGCCTACCTAGGCAGCCTGCTGTAAGGAACCTGCGTTGGCAGGGGGGTTGGACCCGATGATCTTTTGAGATGATCAAAAGATGAGATGACCCGATGATCCCTTCCAACCCCTTCAATTCTGTGATTCTGTGATATAGTACGAACTTGCCTAAGGGCTGCTGTAGTCAGCAAGATCTATAACAGAAGACAGACATACCAAACATTACTGGAAAAGTGGATAGCATGTTATAGTACTATTTAGTCTCTTTTTCAGCTTGGTGACACTTCAGCATTCTGAATGCTTTACGAACACAATGGTATAGCTGTCACAATCTTTTTACAACCACTATGAGATCACAACTTAACCAGCAGTGTGGGCATATAAATGCATACCAAATAAATACAGCTTACAGACAAGATTAGCTACTCCAGCAAACCAATTCTTATTTCCTAGATAAAATATTACCAGTAGAGAGTGTCTGCAGAGCAGGATTTCCTGTGGAGACTGATGCTCTTCTTACCTGCAGGACCTCTGACTATAGAATGACGTGGGAAAATGGCAGTAATACTGGTTCTCATATCAAAAGCTTACACACTCACATATGGTTTAGTGCTTTTTTGTGGTTTATACTGCAGTTTGTGGTTGATTCTAGCATACTATAGGGAAGCAGAGCCTCTCTTGTGAATAGCTACCATTACACAACCAGACAGCAAAGGAAATTTGGATTTTATTCTAAGGGACATTTATTTCCGTATAGGGCACTTATTTCCTAAAGCCAGTCTGAAAACTTATACCTCAAACTATATTCACTTAAGATTAGCAATCCAAAATGAACGTGTAAACGTAATGAAGTCCTTCGTTAAGATTTACATTTAATTTACACCTGCACTTTCATTTTTTTTTTTGAAACTAAATATTTATTTACTCTTTTTTGAGATTATACGGCTGACAGCGTAATGATTCCTGGGTAGTGTTTCTACTTCATATGTTTTGCATCAGTGAGCAATAATATTTAAAAAATGCCTTGTAATGGAATTTTTGCATCCTCTGAAAGTCTGGATGTTTCATGTGAATTTATTCAGAAAGGAATCCCAGCAATTTTAATGAAACACAGGAAAGCCTATGAAACGCAATATGCCACTACATAACTTGACAAATGCCTAAAACCTAGACTTATGAATTGCGGTACAAATATATGTAATACTTAAATAAAAAACACCCAGTCAAATAAAATACACAAACAAAAACACCACAAACAAACAAAACAAAAACAAACAAACCAAACAAACAAAAACCCAATTTTTAAATTGATTACCTGCCAGGCTAATGCTTACAACCTTAAGAACTGTTTATATGTGCATATTTACAATGCAATGCATCATCTTTTTAAAGGCAGTGCTTAAAAGGACTGCAGTAATTTGTTTTGGCCATATTTTGGCCAGATATTCATTTAAAGTTGTATTTATAAAATACTGCATTTAACATCTATTCTTGTAGCCTGCACTGTTTTGGGGATAACGTATTTCTCAGAACTATCTGATCATGCAGTCTACGTTGCAATGCACAAATTGAAGATCCCATAACAGTATCTAGAAAGACATTTCTGTACACACTTTCAAGTATGTAAGGCAGGATGCTGAAATATGTATGATCTATATCAATAATCATGATTGTTTTACTGTTTCTCTTCCCCTCTCTTCACTTCATTCTTTTAATTTGAAGGGGCTATGCCTCAAGCAACCATACTAAATTTTGCTGTTTCACTGCTGTTGTAAGACAGTAAAATAGCTTTTTTGCTAAATTGCGGCTGTGTTTCCAACACAGAATACAATTTGTTCTAACTCAGAGTGTTACAATATGGTTTCCTCCAAGTCTCATTTGTTGAGCTAGAAACTCTTAGTATCTACACATTGCCAAAGCACCGCTAAGTTGCCAATAAATTCCATCTAAAGAATTCTCCAGGTTTCACCTCTGTTTATGTGCCTTACCTGACATGATATATATCATCAAAGTTAGGACTGGGATTACTGCCATCCCCTAGCAGGGAGACCAGATGTGTGCTGAGGAAGTTTTTATTTCCTAAGTTTGCTATGTGAACATGAAAAAAAAGGAGAACAAAACACATTAACTACTCTTAGAAAATCAAAATGATAGCCTTGAAGAAGTTGAGTCTTGGAAAAAAAGACCTGCATATAAATAGGTCAGGTAGCTGGCAGTAGTTTGTTTCCTTTGGACTTGCATTGAATTATGGAAGATTAAGAAATAGCACAAAAATACTTCGGCAATTGTTTCAAAGAATTTGAGTGTAAATATGTTCTTTTCTCTTTGGATGTTCTAGAAAACCCAGCCCTAGTGATTAAATTTGTATAAAACAGGTACAGTAAAATTTATTTACATGTTTCTGCTACAAAACAGCTTCTGCCATTATTCCTTTTAATTTCAGTTCATTTGAAAGTTGGATGGAAAAAATCACTAGAAGTTTGTCTGAAAGGTCAGTTTGGATGCAACCAACCTAATTTGGTGCCATTTTGAAGTACTGTACTGTTCTGTTCTAGTTTGTTCTTTATTCTTCCAGGAAAGGCAAATGAAAGGTTAAACAGACATTAACTCTGTGGTTCATTTACTTGATCTCTTCTTTGAAGCTATTATAAATCAGCAACGGAACATTCTCAAAACAGGTTTAAGTGCAAGCACTTCTTGCTCGCAACCCTCTCAAACCAATGGATGTTCCCAACCTGTTTGTGAATTCTGAAGAGCAGGATAATCAACATCACCTGAAGTACTTGTTTCATGGTAATACAGTTCTTAATGCTTGAGTTCTCTTAAAAAATACACTTCAGAGTTCTTTCATGCAAAAGTAAATCAGAACAAGAAAGGCTTCTACTACTACATTACTAACAAAACAGTATTCAAGAAAAAGTTGAGATTATCTTTGTACAACAGATCATATATAATATTAATCTTAAATTCATCAATTAAAAAGACAGAAGAGCTTACACAATCATTACTAGTTGGAGAACCAGTTCTGATTATCCTTGAAGCATTAGTTCAGTTCTCCTTTAATTATTTTTCTAAAATCACTTCAAAATTACACTGTACTTACTGGATTGAGAACCACTGTGAAGAACAATTCCCCACCTTGAATACTTTTGTCTAGTTCCTTTGGGCCTCCAGGATATTCTTTATAGAAAATAGTGTGGGTGAATAAGCCACAAGTTTGCCTAGGAAGCACCTGAATTTGTAAAAAAACAAAACAAAAATGTTTATACTTTCTATGAGATAGTAAAAGCCAGCTGAGTAATACAAGTTATCGTGTTCCTTTGTAATAACTACTGTGTAGATTTGGCACTGCAACATTGCCAAAAGTCAACAGTGATGTAGTTTCATTAATACACTGACAGATCAATAAATAGTGCTCACAGAAAGAGACAAGGTTTTTATTATCAGTTAAATCAGGTAGTCCAAAAATTCATCACATTTTGTTTGAAACTGGAGATTGACGTCGATAGCTGTTACAATTCAGCAACCTCCTCAAACCAATTCTATCCATTATACCTGGTCCTAATATCATATATTCGAAGTTCATCAAAGATTTCAAGTCATTAAAAAAAAAAAAACAAACATAGAAATGTAATCTGAAATATCAATCTATTTTGTATTTATTAGTTCCAACTTTTATTTAAGAGATAGATTTAGATGATCCTTGAGGTCCCTTCCAACCCAAACCCTTCTATGATTCTATGATTTTCTGTAAATTTCAACTGGAATTTGAAAGTCTTTTGGCTTAGTCACTGTGACCAATAGAATGTCTCTGCTGATGTGATGATTTTTATCGGAAATGCTCACGTTATAAAAATATGTGCTTCTCATTCAAGTGTGCTGGCTTCGTAAGACGAGTTGCAATAAAAAGTAGCATAAAAAAGCATGTATTTTTAAAAACAGTCAAAGAAAAAATCTTTTGAATAAGCAAAACCAATAAATGTATTTTGGATTTCCAGTAAAACTTCAGAATTTTTTCTATCAATTTCAGAAAATAAATCGCTGGGGAGTATTTCATTTATGGCTATTTTTATGGAAATTCAACAGCTGAATATTGATTTCCATGTATAATTCTTAAACTGAGACTGTTCTGAAATATTTTAGTCCAATTTAGGTCTATTTATTATAAAATAGGTTAAACTTTTAAAACATGCAAATCCCTTAATTGGTGGGTTTTTACTCTTTTTTTTCTTGCAGATACATTTCTCAACATCTTTTAGTGTTGTACAGAAAGCTGTCGCTATAGATCATAAATTCTGTGTTTTCATAAGCTGTATGGAATTTGTGTGTTTGCTATAAACTTGCATATGCTTTTTTAAAACCTTCAGATGATGAAATATGAGAACAATTCTTCACTGAGACAGGGAATGAAGCTGTAGTGGATGGAAAATGCTCTGTCAAATCTTACACAACAATTTTATTACTGCATGTGTATTCATCACTATAAGCCTGCAGATGTAAAATATTTATGTGTTTGCCCTGGAGAACTGAAAGCTTGAGACTCCTAGAACAGGTGGCTTTATATGACTGCTCTTAGTAAATTGATGTTTGGCCGCACTGTCCATTCTTTCAAAGCTTATGTTAAATCTCATTATGTGTATTCAAATGGCATGTTTTTACAAAAAGTTATGCAAGAGATTTCTGGAGATTCTCAGAGTCAATCAATCTTACACAAATACTCTACACCCCCGAGCACAACCAAAACCCATTATTTTACATGCTGCTAATGCTTTGAGGAGAACAAACATTAGATCAAATCTGCTTGGTGTCAGTTTTTTTTCCTGGATGTCTGGAGATCATTTCATCTTGCTTCATCCAAATATAGATCAAAATGTTAAAAGTTTGCCATATTATTATTCTGTTAGAAAAGCGGTATCCATGGGAACTGGAGGACAATACCAGAATTATGTTATAAGCTCAGTGGCAGTCTTGTGCTGAGGCACACGACCCTCCAAAACTGTTGGTGCATCCAGATGCGTAATACAGTACACACTGTAGTATCTTTCCCATTCACCACTTTCCTAAATGCTCCAGAAGAAGGTTACTCAACAACATGCCATCAAGAGTTTTTTCAAGTTCTTTTGAAACACTTCTCAGATAATAATGACATCACTTGATTCAGAAATAGCTTAAGCCCTGGTGACCGGATGGTATTAATGTAATGCCTTCCATGTCAGCAGTGTACAACACTTTTGGCAAATACCGCTGTCAGTGAGCTAAACTGTGAATTATGTAATACAGAAAAATGTGTGCGATTTGATTTGTAGCTGCATCAACTGCGCAGTTTCACAGCCTGAGGGGAAGTCTTCCTTCCCTCACCCTTCTAGGCGTTAGCCTTGCATCCAGACAGATCACCTGGGCCCAGAACCTAGGTGAGGGGTTAAATCACAGTGCAAAGCACAGTTCACGTTTCTGTACATCAAGAAGGAAAACGAGGGCAACTGTGTATGGTTCATATGGAGGATAAAATATTTATGCATAAAGATCCAGATTTTCAGATGGCATAAACTGGCAAAGCTCTTCCGCAGTTAACTGGTACTATGCAAATTTAAAACCTGCTAAAAATCTAACTCATAATATTCTGTTAAAAGATGCAAAGTAGACTTTTTCTTGAGCTCTCTGAACCAGCATTTAACAGTAGGAACAGAACAGTTAACAGCCTGTTAACTGTTAACAGCAAGGTTCCTGGAGGCCACCTCCCTCAGCAATAACATCAGCAACAGACTGGTTTTAATTAACAAGATACTGTCAAATATATCTTGCTACTTATGCAAAGCAGTATGTGCTTCTCACAAAGTGAACTTTCAGGATAACATGCTTTTTCAACTTAAAAATAAATAGTTTGTAAAATGGTAGACTCTTTGTAACATGGACATCATAAATACAACTCACCATGATATTTTTGTGGATGAAGCCTCTTCTATACCTTGCAGGCTTCAGATGAGGGTATTCTTCTGTGCTGGTAACTCTGATATTCCAGACCTTTTTCCAGGCATCATAAAGTTGAACATGCACTGGATAGACCCCCGAATGGTGTGGAGCCACTGCATAGCCCATGTCAGTTGGAATACCATGTTCCTAAAACAGAACAGAACAACTTTCAAAAATTTAAGGAACTTCATGTTTGGGCATTTTGCAAATTCTTTGATTGTGGAAGATCGAGAACAAGTCTGAAATACAAATAATGGTGACATTAAAATATGAGGTATAAAAGGGAGATGAAGGCAGAATAGTGAAGATAAAACACAGGATTTTAATACATGAGGCCTTTTAAAAATATTTCTATTAGTATGTAGGAAAAAGTAATACAAATGTATTTTATGTTGATTTCTTTAATCAATACATTATTCACCGCTGCATTCTTTCAAGTTCTTAAAAGGAAATGTGCTCACAAACTAAGAATTCAGAGAAAACTACTGGCACATATGCAACAAAAACAGCTAGCATTTGGCATTTAAAATTAAGAAAAAAAAAAAGTGATATCCACTACATTTCCCTACACAATTACTTAGTTGAATTTCACAGAGGATCACCAGATTTCCCTTCTAATCCAACGAAGCATAAACCATATTTTGTATTGTTTTAAAAAAGAAGAAAAATTAGCCACTTGTAAAATCCTGAAGATAACAGGCAGATGTTCTAGATTATCGCCTTTTGTAGCATATCTTTTGTTTTTGCAGATTTCTATCATTTATCTTGTTTACATACTCATCTTGCCAGTATTACTTTATCTAGAAATTCAGTTTCTACTCTTTTCTTTCTGGTTTCCAATGTACTCTAATGAGTTCTGACACTTTATCTGTTTTCTTTCAGGTTACTTTTCAAAAGACAGAATACAGCAGATATTTCTGTGATATCTGGTTAGTACAACATAGGATGTTGTTGTGGTGGAATGATTTAGAAAAACTGCCTTTTGCACAACCATTGCATTAGGTTTAAGAGCTTTTAGATTGTTTATATTTGTATCATCTTCATCGCATTTTAAAATTACACTTTGTGTGCCAAGATAAGATATGGTTGATACCTGGGTTCCTTCCGTTACATAAACCAGTTATTAAGGAATCTGAAAAACTCTAAGTCTTCTCTTAACAAAAAGTGGGTTCATGACATTTGTAAAATAATCCTTCTTCATCTTTTCTGGAGGACTGGACTACTGAGTGAGATCAAGTGTACTGGATGGACAGGACAACAAAGATGAGGAAAACAGGGTAGAGTAAAAACCGGTGTGCTGAAAAACATGGGAATTTTCCCGATTTTTATACAAGGGATTTAACATAAAGGAGATCAGGTAGAAATGAAAGAAGTTTTTTCCAACCAGAAGGAAAAGCCTGAGCAGGAAGTGAATTCTGTAGGAAGTGCTAATAACACACTGTGAGGATTGTTAACAGATCCCACACAATACAGTGAGGAAGAGAACGCAAGAAGAGACGTTCTTCATCTGCCTACATTTGAAAAGTTCCTGTGCTGCCTGAAGTATAGAATACACACAGCCTTATTTGTTTGCACCACCACATGGTCACAAAGGTTTGGTACATAAACCCACGAGGATGACCCCTGGGAGGTATGCTTAAGCAAATGGGAATACTGGTAATTCAGAACGAGTCATTCACATTTTTGGTAAGAAGGTTAAGTGCTTGCTAATTTTCTGAGCCATCTGGGTCTCAAGAAATAGAAATCTAAAAGGTAACTTCCTCTGAGAACTAGCACAGGAGCAATAGCATCAGACAGTTGTCTCCATCTATAGGTTTAGTTCTCTCGCTGTAAGGACATCCATTCTGTCCTTTGATAATAAGGCTTCCATACTCAAATTTTCTTTACCTACTCAGAAGTGATGTGTAAGCAGATTATTACATGGAAGTCCGCGTTACAGCAATAAATATACATGTACATAAGGACTGTAACACGCTTAAAACTGCTATCGCTTTGACCAGATACAGTAATTTAAATACCCAAGTAGTTTACACAAAAGCCACAATATTTTTTAAATCACACCTATTGCACCCACTATGTTTCCAGACACATCACAGAAAGCAGCAGCGCTGTGTTAGGGTTTTTGACACCAAGATCTGGATAGCTACCCACTCCTTCCTTCCCAAGTGCTGTAAGAGATTTTTTCCCCTAATTCCACTAGTTTAATGATGTAAAATTAGTGTGTGCTTTGCTTTCCAAAACAGTGAATCTCTTGAATTTTGCTGTAGTTTTCATCGCAGATGTCTTATTGAGAAGCTCTTCAACCTAAACTTAGCAGCTACCTCTTCCTTACCACAGGGGTGAATCCTTTTTGTGTCACAAGTATCATTAAGTGCATATAGGGTTAAAACTGCATGGTTTTGTACCCATACTGTGGGTATATGTTGTTCATGTACAAATGAAGACACACCTATGCATTCGTAACGTCTGCCATTTGTGCTAAGGTTAAACATTGAGTCCTCAATATGAGACATTATCGGTTATATGTAAGATATTACAACTTTATTAAAAGCTCAGAACAAAGCAAACTCATGAAAGGCAGCGTTTGCTTCTGCTCCAGAAGAACATGAGAAAGAAGACTTAAAAGATATGAAGCCTTCAAGGGAAGAAAGGCAATTTTTCCTAATTTAAGGGTTACTTTGAACCTAGTGTAATGGTGTGTGTAAAGGCACATACCATCTACTCTCATTGGAGAATCCTGAATTTTTAATATTTAAAATACTGGCATAATTACCATTTCTCTGTGGTAATTCATGGCACGCTAGGAACACATAATGGGACGTAAGATTTTATTGCCCCAAGGTTGGTGTAGCCTTTGCCTCACTGCTCCTTGATAAGATCCAGGCACCCAATCACACTACACCCATGGAGCACATCGTCTGTGGCTCTGCAGCTGGGGTGCTGCATGCATAATGTGCCAAAGTAGGAATGAGCAAGATCTGTCCTATGGCTTTCAGTACTTGGGGAGATGAAGAACAGCTACACAACCCGTTACACAGCTTTACACTATTTAATTCCATCATCAATATTTAAATTCCTATTCCTTTTATCTTAATCTCGTCTACTTCATTCAAGCATGCATAAACATCAGAAAGAATAATCTTTATAGAACACAAGAAATTGCATTCTCTAATGTCTCATTTAATCTTCCTCATTCAGCTCTAAACAAATGTCTGAATTTCAAGTTTTTTTTTTCCCCCACAGGTTTTACAATATGCTGTAATAAATAGGTAATCAAAATCTTTCATTCTAATTATGAGCCTATCATCTTCAATGTATTAGTGCCTCCATTACTTTTCAGTCACTAATGCCCAAGTTGAGCATTTCACATGCATTGTATACATTTTTTTTGGGATAAATTATATGATTTGCCTCCTCATTTATCTCTTCTCTATTGAGAACACTCATGTATTATCAGTTTATTTCATAGGAGTACTTCTGAGCTCCTTGTCTTCCAAATAAAATCCTTAAATAGCTAGTCATTCCCTACATAGCAATTTTACAGCTTCAGAACACCTGGTAGTACACCTATACGCAACAAAAGCCAACTTGTACTTACAATGGACACAATTAATGGGGGAAACTGCATCTGGTGTAGTCAGAGTGGTCTGAACATGTATTTTTTGCATTAATCAAAAATGCAAGTCACTGTAAAAGTGATCTTCACAGTTACCTAACAGAAAAGACAGTACCGGATTATTAAAATTGTATAAAAAGCTGTAAAAACAAGGAGGTTTGGTGTGAATTATTTTTCTAAAATGTATATCCTCCAAAAGGATGAGAACCAGTGTTTCCCTGAGCTATTTTACCATGTGTGTGCTCTGTAGGTGAACACAGCTGTTTACAACTCCCTTAGGTTAGCTCTGGTGAAGTGCTCTATCAATGGGCTGAGGAGCCCCCCAACTGTTCTGCTGGAAGGATTACTTAGCACAACCTCATGCTTCTGGAGCTCCCTTAGTAAAGTAGTGCAAGATCTGTGGGAGAGCTACTTCACTTGAAGTCCAAATCTGGGGACTATTATGCTTCTGCGGCAGAGTAGACCTTCCTCTTCTCTCACATCTCCTGTGCAGTTACACTAACTTCTAAGAGAGGCACCTTCTTCGACAGTGATGGGAGCAGGGAGGAAAATGGAATGTTTACAGAGCATTGGGGAGGAAGGAACCACAGTGGCCATATTACTCCTTGCTAGCACAGAGAGCCTACCCAGCGTTCAGGAGCTTTTCCAGAAACTGTCATTCCATGGTTACCAGTTTTGGTAATTTTCCTTCATTTTACTTAATCTATAATTTTGATCCCCCAAATAATACCTCACTTCAGTGTGCTTTATATAACTGCCTTTTTCTGGTATTTGCTTCCTCTTCTACCATGTTATCTAGTTTTCTTGTACATTGCAGAATAATTTAGTCCCCAGAATACTCTAAAATGTTGAAAACAGTCTTTTCAAATAAGTAATAAGGTATATTTATAATCAAATATAATTTAAATTTAGCAACTTCCATTTATCCAAACAAGTAATACACTGTATTACATATGAATGTTATGGTTTGGTTTTACTGTATGCAATTAATTGTTGAGAAGAGATTAGGATGCTTTTTTTAGTATCAGCAGGCCTAAGGATCTGTTTTTATTTTTTCTTCTGTTCTCACTGAAGCTTTTTCCAGAACTTTGCTGTAAATAAATAATTAGTAATGGCAATGGCTTTCAAAATAAGTTTTGATGAAGTTGGTCTAAAGGGAATATATGAGATGGTATTAGATATCACCACAGAAAAGCATCTTTGAAAAAGTGGCACACTTCACTAATTTTAACATGCAGTGTTTTCACAGTCATTTGATGTCTTTTGGCAAGAGTATTTATTCTAATCAAGATTTTTTTTTCCCTAATCCAAACAAGAGGTTATTTGGACAAAATTCTATTGAGAAGAATTCTGCACTAGAAGATGCTTTTTTTTTTAATGCACCTTTCCAAGACAGGAAAACAGTCATTCTTCACTCTGAAAGATTTTTTCAAAATTTTTTTTAAAATAAATACAAACTCAAATTTTTAATTGAGAAGGAAATTCAAACTGTAGAGAAACATAACTTTTATACCACAAATTGACTGTGAAAATCACTTTATCAAAGATTTCTTTTTTCTATTCATTGGGATTAAAGTAAATTCTACAAGCACTGACTTTCTTACAGAATAGAAAAAGTGCCTTCTGAACGATCAAATTCAATATAAAATGTAAAAATATTACTTACTAAGGCAAATTTTTTGTTGAGGATCATCTGCTCTACCAATGATGATTCATTGTGGAAAAGATGAGGCTGCATGTGACTCCACATATGGGGAAACCACCAAAACTCATCCACAGACCTCAACAACAGGTCATCGCCTTCATCTTCCTCTTCAGTGCCTGCAAAAAAAAAAAAAAAATCTTGAAGTATAGCTTCTACTTATATTATTACAAATACTTGGAAACGAAGGAAATTGGCAAAATAAAATTTGACTGTTGAAATTACTAAGAATTTTAAATGTTTCCAAGTATATATTCCCTTTCCTGAAATAACCATACTCAGGTAAAAGACTGAGTCCCATTTCCATGGCATCTTGAATGTATGGCACAACGTTGTTCACAGAATCACAGAATTTCTAGGTTGGAAGAGACCTCAAGATCATCGAGTCCAACCCATGACCTAACGCTAACAGTCCCCACTAAACCATATCCATAAGCTCTACATCTAAACGTCTTTTGAAGACTTCCAGGGATGGTGACTCCACCACCTCCCTGGGCAGCCTGTTCCAATGCCTCACAACCCTTTCAGTAAAGAAGTTCTTCCTAACATCCAACCTAAAACTCCCCTGGCGCAACTTAAGCCCATTCCCCCTCGTCCTGTCACCAGACACGTGGGAGAACAGACCAACCCCCACCTCGCTACAGCCTCCTTTAAGGTATCTGTAGAGAGCAATAAGGTCGCCCCTGAGCCTCCTTCTCTCCATGCTGAACAAGCCCAGCTCCTTCATCCACTCCTCGTAGGACTTGTTCTCCAGGCCCCTCACCAGCTTCGTTGCCCTTCTCTGGACCCGCTCAAGTACCTCCATGGCCTTCTTGTAGCAAGGGGCCCAAAACTGAACACAGTACTCGAGGTGCGGCCTCACCAGAACCGAGTACAGGGGGACAATCACCTCCCTAGCCCTGCTGGCCACACTGTTTCTTATGCAAGCCAGGATGCTGTTGGCCTTCTTGGCCACCTGAGCACACTGCTGGCTCATATTCAGCCGACTGTCCACCATCACTCCCAGGTCCTTCTCTGCCTGGCAGCTCTCCAACCACTCATCTCCCAGCCTGTAGCTCTGCTTGGGGTTATTGCACCCCAGGTGCAGGACCCGGCACTTGGCCTTGTTGAACTTCATGCAGTTGACCTCAGCCCATCGGTGCAGCCTATCCAGATCCTCCTGCAGAGCCTTCCTACCCTCGAGCAGATCAACACACGCACCTAGCTTGGTGTCATCTGCAAACTCACCTGAGGGTGCACTCAATGCCATCGTCCAGATCATTGATGAAGATATTAAAGAGGACCTGGCCCCAGCACCGAGCCCTGGGGGACGCCACTAGTGACCGGCCTCCAACTGGACTTGACTCCATTCACCACGACTCTTTGAGCCCGGCTATCCAGCCAGTTTCTAACCCAACGAAGCGTGCGCCAGTCCAAGTCAAGAGCAGCCAGTTTCTTGAGGAGAATGCTGTGGGAGACTGGTGTCAAAAGCCTTGCTGAAGTCAAGGTAGAGCACATCCACAGCCTTTCCCTCATCCACCCAGCACGTCACTTTGTCATAGAAGGAGATCAGGTTCGTCAAGCAGGACCTGCCTTTCATAAACCCACTGCTGACTGGGCCTGATCGCCTGCTTGCCCTGCAAGTGCCTGCGTGATGACTCTCAAGAGAATCTGCTCCATGAGCTTCCCTGGCACTGAGGTCAAACTGACAGGCCTGTAGTTTCCCGGGTCTGCCCTCTGGCCCTTCTTGTAGATGGGCAGTCACAGTTTGCTAGCCGCCAGTCAACTGGGACCTCCCCCGATAGCCAGGACTGCTGATAAATGATGGTAAGATGTTCTCACATTCACATGCGGTAGCAATAACATCAGCAATTAAGGACAGAAGCAGTGTACAAGACTGTTGTGTACATGACTGTTTAGTACTGAGGACAAATGAAAATATTGACAACTCTTTTTTGGTATTCTGTATCCAAAAGAAATTCACTCTCCAATCAAATTTCTTTTCCTTTTGTTACCTGCAGTATGTGGAACTAATTTTTCTAGCAGCCATTTCAGAACTGTTATGCAAAACACAGCTGCTTCCTCTTCCCCTGCATTCCAGTTACAACCTTTTTAGGAGTTCCCAGAAATCTGCATCTTTGAAGATAAAGAGTAGGCTGGAGCCCACCAAGTTATTCTGAGACCCCAGATCTGTCTTTTCAGGTACTCTCCCTGCCTGTTCCTAATGATGTGGTGCCCTCGCATAGACCCTGCAGCAATTTCTAACTGGTGTGCTGATTCATAGGAATTGCTCAGGCAGCAGTGTGTAGCTGTGTCGTTCCCCTAGGCCTCTGATGCTACAGCTACAGGAAGAAATACGACAGCAACAGGGCCTGACCCCGAGCCAGCTGGCCACTTGGATGCTCGTAAATCCTAGCCTGCAAGAGAAGCAGCTGGTCCCAGCTCCCTGCTGGGACTGGCTCCTTGCCTGCGCTCCCTGCCAGGGTGCACCCTGGCTCTGCGTCGAGCTGGGGGCTGGCCTGGGCCAAGAGCAGTGCAGAGACTGTTCTGGTAACCTGAGAGCCATGACCACTGCCTTCAGCATTCAGCCCCGGGCCTCAGCTATGTGCCAGTTAGCAGAGATTTAGCCTGCATCCCTGACAGCACCTCAGGGCTGGGAAGTACCAGGGCCTAATGAGCTGACAGATCAGGACACCAGCTCTTCCACCTCCAAGCTCAGGTATTTATCCTAGTCCCAATGCACTTTTACTGATAGGCCTGTCAAAGGCAGCTATATTTAAACAAACCCCTAATGGGATGCCTTATAAAGATTGCATAAGCTAAACTTTGACAACCTATCGCTTAACAAATCTTCATGGCGTGCACATTTGTTACTTGTTCCTACTTCTTCCAAAATAGTCAACACAACTTTACAAATCCTTTTTCTCTCTTAGCATTTTGCAATACCTACTGTCTTTTATTCATTTTTTCAGTCCCTGTGTTTTCTCCATCAGTAAGGTTTTATGCTCATTAACCCTCTAAGCCTATTGCTTTCCCTTATTTCCTTCAACAAACCTTGTCCAACATTCCTTCACTGCTGTGTATTTCCCTTTACCTCAGAGGGAACTAAAGCAATGAAGGAAAAATGTGTGCAAAAGCATGTAATGATGTATCAGTATCTGTTGGATCATCAGATTTTAGGACTCCATGTGGCCCTATGTGATGCTCACATGCAACAAAAGAAAGTGATGGGAGTGGGTAAAGGTTATAAAACAGGCAGGTCAGGGAGAAGAAACTTTTCTTCAAGAAAGGAAGAAAGCCACAGCAGGAGATGGGCTGTAACAGAGTGAGGCTCAGCTCATTCAGTTTACAGCTGGTAACTGGGTCAGTCTGTACTACAAACATGCAATACCTTTGCCAAATCCCGATCAACCAAAAATAGGCAACCCACGTGCATGTTCCCTCCAAAGCATCTGAACTGTCAACTGAGGCAAAAGAAGCGGGCTGGAAAGTACCTTTGCCTGCTGAGAGACTGGCAGGTGACAGGCTTGGCAGCCAGGACCTTTTTGTTGGACCATTCTAGGCAAGAGAAAGGAGGAAAGGATGGGACTGGATGGAGAAAGTGATGCACTGAATGTGAAAAATTTAAGGCATCTCTGTTCTCTCTGAATTGCGCAGGTGACACCTGGATGGCAGGGGTCAAACATTTAGCAAGTCTAGCTGATCTCTGCTGTACCCAAAAGAAACCTGTGAGGGACTAATCGGTTGTAAATAACTGAATTCTTTCCCTGCCTCTTTTCGTCATGTGGCAAGTAATACTGACCAAGGAGCACAAACACAGAAGGAGTTATACACATCCCTCTGCTACATAACATGCACAGAATCAAGCACAGTCAAGTTCCGTGTTTCTTCAGCTTTGAATCAGGCCTTTTGTTTCCTAGTCTCAGCTAACTTGTTGCTTTGTCTCTTTCATATTACTATCCCTCAGCTATGACATTATCTTGTATTGTCTTCTGTCTCTCTCTTCCAAGCTCTCATGTTGTCCTGTTTTGCATGCATACCTTTTTCTTTGCTTCTTCTATATCACATCCTATTTAATACTTTATCCTTTATTTCTTCATATTACTGCAGTGGCTTAAGTATAGCATTATTTTAATGAATAATATATATTGCTATGGTATCACTACCGTAGAGGTTAAACTATCCAAACGGACAAACTGTGGTAGTTCAGAAGATCACTCAGTAAAGTCAATAGGAAATTTCATTTGATCAGTGGAATTTACCACTCAAAAAAGGTCAAGAGGAACTGAATTTTAATAAAGGGGAGGAGGAATTCAAACTGTTCCCCACAGGCACCTACTGCAGGTGATACAACTTACTAAAAATTTCAGATTCCTCATCCTAAGATGCTCCAGCCACCTAAAATTAGCTACCGAAATTCTCCAGGTGCTCAGGAAATGGTTGCAGAGAAAAATCCATTGCATTACCCTACATGCTTCCCTCTCCCCATTTCCTGGGACAGGTTCTGTAGTAAGCATCTAAGCTGAAATTTCATGTCCCACACTTTGAATGGAAGCATGAAGAAACGATATGAGATGTTTTTGTGACACCATCAGAACTGATTCAGTGTTATCCAATGACACACATGCAACACATACAAAGCATACAGAAAACTGTCATTCCAGACACGGACTGCCTTTTGCAAATTTTCTTCCTGGCCCTGTGACTCTGGCATTTCTGCATGTCTTGCTGTGCAGGAGGAGAAGGAAACGTTCCTCTTACTCAGGAAACTTAATAGCCTGACAAGACACTTTTCTGAAGGGCTTAGTCTTCTCAGGCTTAGAAACTACAGCTTGGCTCTCCTACGTCCATGTCATTGCTCTCCTTACTGGACTATTACACAAAGCATGAATGCAATCATTTTTTAAGAGAGAAATGTAGCTGCAAAGACGTATTTATAGACTCTACCTACACGATTATTTCCACAGAGACTTAGCTCAAACAAAAGGTTAATCCAGAATAATAAATTTAGGAGAAAAAAAATTGATTTGATAAATCACACAAATTATGTCCCACAGCAACCTGGAAGAAAGAACATTTTTTTTTTTTCAGTTATACTAAAATGAAGGAAATTACTCCCTCTACTTAGACTGTTAGTCCCTATCATTCCTATGTCCCTCGGTACTACAAAAAAGACCATAAAAATGAAAGTTGCTTTAGTTTTTCATTCTTACCTGTGTGATAGAATTTCCCTGAAAATCCCAGGTTGAAAGTAAAATTTGTAATCTGAGCTCTCAAAAGATTCTGAGTGTCAAGCAGGGCCTGAAAAAAAACATATAACTGTAGCAAACTACATCTGGCACAGAAATTTAATGTAACAACATAAATACTTTTAAAGGCACGTATGTTTCCAGTTTTCTCTCTACAAAAGCAGCACTTTATGTATGACAAAGAAGTGATATTTTAATTACCACTTAATGATTAAAGACAGGATGCAAACCGCATTATTTTTCTTATAAAGGTGACCAGCTACCAAAAGCTTACTCCCTGGGTCATTAGATGTGGAGACAAAGGTATTTTCACTGGCTTGTGCCTTTCTCTTTACTCAATAAATGTGGAACACAGCCAGGATCAAAACTCAGATCTCGTGTCCCAGACTGCTGCTCTGTTTGCTAGGGTGCATAGCATTTATTAGAATTACCTTTCCCTAGATCAGGTCAAGCACATACACAGCATTTTATTCATGTTTTGAAATTACTGCCAATAGAAGAAAAACACACAGAAAGACAGAAAGAAAGAAGTTAAATGAAACCTATTCCACATCAAAGAACTTAATGCTACCCCCAAACTGTGACTCACTTCTCAGACAGTTATCATCCTGGCTGTCAGCATAAATGTACTCGCACTACATTAGTACAAACAAAAAAACAGCATGCAGAAAGAAGGGGGAAAGCTATTACTCATCGGACACAGCTTCACTCTTTGATTTCAATATGCACCCCTTCATCTGTCACTCCCAAGATTTACAGATTACTTTAAGGAGTTATCTCCCAAACTCTCCTACTCTGCTGTCGTTGTTTACTATTTCAATTTTTCAGGGGTAATAGAGAGAATCTAGCTCTCCAATACAAAAAAATACAAAAAGCCAAACCCCTCTGCACAGCAAGAACAAAACTTAAAACCAAAAAGCCTCCTCTAACACGAGGCCCAGACCACACATTCCTCCAAACAGCCTGTCTTGAGCTCGAGCTGACAGTAGCTACTTTCTGAGCACATTGGGCTCCTTGAGATTCGTGAGACTGCACATAGCACAGCCAAGCCACACGGCCAGCCACAGCACACGGACGTGCCCAGGCACTCATGTTGACTGCTACGTAGCAACACCTTGGAAAGAAAGGAAAATTTGTACATCAAAAGTCATAAAGGAGTTTTCAAAGTCAACATACAATATACCACAGTTGTTTTAATACACTACTTAAAAACAATACCCTCGTTGGAAGTAACTCAAAGTGTGTTGTGAAAGGGGTGAGTATTTAAAATCACAAAAGAAATATTAAAATCACCAGAAATTTTCAAAAGTTTAAAGGTGAAGTAGGTATCCCACTCCTTGAATTCAATGACAATTTTCTGCCTTGACATACATGACCCTTATGATCGTTTTCATTGTATTAGCAGCTTACAATTTATATTTTTTAAACCAAAAAGCCTAAGGCAACAAAATATTAGCACAGAAATCAAGTCAAGCTTTGGAAATAGGCATAACACAGTTAAGTTTCTTAAAATACGGCCCTGTTTCACAGACCACAGTGATATCTACCTTATCAGACAATCTTCTGGGCACACAAGCTCTCCTTTGGGTCTTTTAGAGGCTTCACCTACCTCAGTTCTAATAAAAGTACGACCTCTATCTACAAACTCAGTCAAGCCTGCCTCCGTAAGCTCCTGTACCTACACTGCGTTGACAAAGCCCAGCAAAGGCTGCCAGTTGCAGGGGCCTGCCCTCCACACTAACCTCTAGAGCCTGAAAGCAGCAGGCACAGAGCTCCCCGTGCACCACAGTGGGTGCCTCTGCCCTGCTCTGCGCTCCCCTTCCAGCGCTGAGTATCTCACCTGGCCTCAGCGACAGATTGCAGCGCTGCCAGAAGGGGAACACAACAGCCAGTCTCTTTACCATCCCATACATCGCTGTCACAACAGCCCCTCACCTCCGTAGCTTCTTGTCCCTGGCCCCTCCACCTGCTGCTGGGACAAGAGGAGCCCTGGGGGAAATGTGGGGTGAGGCCATGGCCCCCCGAGACTGAGGCTGCAGCAGCTCAGCAGCCTGTGGCTTCGCCTGGCTCTGGGAGGCTGGTGCTTGAGACAGCTGGTTGGCAGCAACAGGAGAGACAGTCCCTTCGTCCCTGTGCTGGAGGGATGCAAAGCTGAATTTTGCTGACACTGCTGGCAGAATATGAGCACTTTCACTCCTGAGTCATCATTAGCACTCGCCTTGTTTTCCATTTTGGCAGACCAGAGCATTAGGCATTAAAACTACATCAATCACAAAGCTAAACCTAGGAACGAGCCATCATGTTTCTGCCTCCCGTGCCCAAAGGCCATTGTATTGGCTTCCCATCATCTTGCCTCTCCCACTGTCCTCTTCAGCACACAGCTCTAGCAACAGTGAGAGGAGGCTTCATGGAGCAGTAGCAGTAAGGCAAAGATCATCATCTTCCAATAGAAAGGAAAGCCTGAAAAATGTCCTGCAAACCATGACCTTTAAAAAGGGATGAGTAAAATGAAGCACAGAACAGAGATCTTTGAAGACAAGCTTGAGCCTTCTGAAGTGGAATAGTGAGAGAAATCTTGCACCAGCATAACGAGGACTTTTGCACAGCCGAACTGAGCAAGGATCACTGAGGAGGCTCCCTATCCTAATGAAAGGTAGCAAATCTGCAGATGGTATTATTAAAACCATCCTTGAGCTGCTGGAAACTGATTCAGTGAAAAATTTATCTTTTTAGCGAGAGGCACAGTTAAAAATGTAGGAGGTAAATGTTATGGCTATAGACTTCTTATATTAACAGTACGTAACTTCAAATGAAAGAGACTCTGAGTACAGCTTGACAGCGAGATGACATGAATGGGCTGTAAAGCTCCGCTCCTCAGAATCAGGTTCAACAGACCCTGCCAGAAGAATGAAACAGATGTTTAGAAACCCGTCAAAAATATCATACTGAAGGCGTTTGCGTAGCAGGGAAGTAGGTTCCTCAGAAACCCAGCTGGGAGGCAGACCTCTGGATTTTCCTGTGCTGTGTGACTTTAAAGAAGTTTAGGGAAAAAATTACATTTGTTATGGTAAAAATTTAGTTACACAGGATAAAGTCAAAGTCCCAAATGAACAGATCAGATTGGTAGCATGACTTTATTTCTAAATGTGTAATATCAAATATAAAAAATCTCAAAGCTATCTGCCCCCTTCCCAGCAAATTGGAGGTGTGTTTACTGTCCCTGAGCATCAACCTCTGAACTGTAAGGAACTGTGATTTATTTCTGAGCTGATGGTCTTATCCTCTACCTTTCTAACATCTTCACAGCTTCCCAGTGATGGAAAAACAGAAAGAAAAGAAAGTAGAGGGGCTGGAAATGCTCAAGCTTGGAAGAGCTTGCTGCTGCTCTTCCAGGCGTACTGCAGCCATCCAGCTGACAGGAGAGGGTTTGCAAATGGCAGGTGAGAGAAGGGTAGCAAAAAGCCCACCGTGTTTCTGTGATAATGCAATGTAGGGTTTACTTCTTCACTGGGAGTTAGTGTTACTGGTGTAATTATCACTTTCTCACATCCACAGCTGCCTGGTTGCTGCATTTTCTTTAGGACAGTGGTCACTAAGACATCCCTCCCTCCGCTCCTGACTGATCTCTTTCCATCACAAACAAAACAAAAAGGAGAGTAACGGAGATCTGGAGTTCACCTGCTACAGAATGAACTTCAAAAGAGAGCCTGTTGTTTTTTTGGCCACCTTATTCTCATTAAAACCAACAGGTGTTTTGCTAAAATCTAGTAATGCTGTTTGAAAATGTACCAGCTAATACCAAGGGTGTAGCTGCTCACCTGCTCTATCTGCAAAGAGGGTGTGCAAAAACCTACTGTGAACCATCTTCCGTACAGACAAGCTGAGATAACATTTGAGTTGTCATGCCTATGATTATTTTCTTGGTGACTTGACATTTTACACATTTTTCAGGTTCTAAAAACAAAATGTTAAAACTCATAAAAAATATATAGTAGCAGATGGCAGGGACTATTACTGTGAGTTTCAATTAGAAACACTGAAAGAGAAGCAGGGAGGAGGAAAAGCCTGAAATTTCATTTCTAAATGCTATTCTATACACTTAAGGTAAGCCGGTGATATTTATTTTATGATTGCTTTATGAAACGTCCCTCTAGGTATGAGATGTTACATAAATATGCTAGTAACAAAGAATATATTTTATATTCTGTTATATGAATATATTTTATATTTTATTTTATATTCTGTTCTAATATATGTTATATTCTGTTATATTCTGTTATATAAATTCTGTTTATATACTGTTCAGTAAAATCTTCACGTATTTATAAATAATTATTTAGCATATTTGTTATACTTCCACTGGTACCTGTAAGGAAAATAAAGTTCTGGATGCGTAATCACTATTAGGTACACAACTACAATGGAGTATTTTCTTTTAAACTTTTCCTAGCTCACACATTAGGTTTAGGAAATTTCTTTCAGCACAAGTCAAATGTGAGAATTCAATATATGATGAGAGACCCCTTTGTTCTCCAACAGCCCAAAACAATCTCAGAAAAGGCCCTGTTACTATCCAATGAATAGATGAAATTTGCCCTGACAGTTTAGAGTTCTCCCAATCCTTGCATCTGACATGTTTATAGTATAATGAAAGGAATATAAGAAATCGTGTATGTTGTAAATAAAGTCCGATTCTCAGGTGATTAATCAGCTCAGCAAATGTAAGCTGCTGTAACTGCCAGTGGGATCTCATGAAATTTTGAATTTAAGAGAAAATGGGCTTTAGGATCACAAACAGAGCAGCAGGAGCCAAGAGAATTACTATTGAATTGAAATATTCACACAATGAAAATGCATGAGAATCCCTGCCCTCATATATAGATGGTCTCCTTTCTCGACAACCATAATATTTAGCTCTTCTTATCGCTTTTCATTCAGAAACGTCAACTATGTTTACAAAATAAACAGTTTTATTTCATTTGTCTCCTCTTGCAGAAAGGACAGAGACACAGACAGATGACATGGGTTGTCAAAAGCGTTTGCTCACGTAAA